TTAGAGACCATGTCACTAAGGAAGATGTAGTTCTAGAATTTGTTGATACTTCGCATCAATTAGCGGATATTTTTACAAAACCCTTAGATAAGGAAAGGTTTTGGACACTTAGGAGAGAATTAGGTTTAACTGACCTATCTTCACTTAGTGTTTAAAATAATTCAGCACTTTTAATAAATACTGAAAAATGCTCATAATAGTAATTTTTGATTGCATTCATTGCTATTAGTTAGGGGGAGTTTATGATTCTTGATGAAAAATTAATTTTATGTTCAAATATCGATTAAAGATTAATTTAATTGTTTGAACATAATTATTTTTCAATATATGAGTTGCCTATACCACTAGAGAAGATTAATTTAGCATTTTGTGTGCTTAAAAATCGGATTTTAGCATTTTGGTGCAGAGGGAATCGATCCCCCCTCATGAGGGAACCGATTCCCCCTTTGAAGGGGAACCGATTCCCCCCATAGGGGAATCGATACCCCCCTAGGGTTCTGTTAAATCAAGCAGAACACCCAAAATCCCAAAATACTCAAACCCTCTTCCGCCGTTCTCTCTCAACTTTTCTCAAATCTCCATTTTTGCCTCAAATCAACGATATTTAATCAGAATTCGAATCAAATATCATCTTCTAAACCTGTTGGAATCATTAAAATCGTGCAAACAACATCTAAATCCCCTCAATCTTCATCTTTCAAGGTAAATTTTTCTAAACTCTCTATTTCATTGATTTTGAACATATGATTAGTTTTAATTAGTTCTAGGTTGAAATAGTGATCGGGCATTGATTGTTTAGTGATTAGAAACTAGATGTTACAACTAATTTCATCAAAAACACAAGAATTTTCCAAAAAATTTTAAATTTTTGAAATTAAAAAAAATGTTAATTTTCAAATTATTGTGTTTTGATTAAATTATGTTGTTATTATGAAAACTATACATATATTGTTTCTCAAAACCATATTTTTCAAAAGTTTTTCAAAAACTTTGCCCATTAGAATTGATTTAGAAAACCTTGAAATATTGAGGACTCAATTGAGTTTTGGGATTAATTGAATTGCATACATTTGTTTTTAAAATTGCAGGTTATCCAATCTATTCCGATTTCCTTTACCATGTCCAATCCTAAATGTGCTAGGTCTTCATCTAGTCGTTCTAGTCGTCAACCAAATCCACCTCCAAATCCTCCTCCTATTCCTCAAAATCCTATTCCAAATCTTGATCCTAACTTGACTATCCAAAATTCTTGTTTCAATCAACCGGGTCCTAAAGATTATCGTTATTGGTTTTACCAATATTTTGACTCGTATAAGATTAGGGAAGAACGTATCCCATCTCTTCAAGCTATTGTTGCTATTAACTTTAAATATCTCCCTATCTTGCACGAATGGAAATTTGATAAACTTTTCGAACTTGAACCCGTTGTCTATCATCAACTTGTTCATATATTCTATTGTAATGTCGTTTGTATCAAAAATCGTGACAAAACCAAAAACCATAGGAGTACGTTCCTACCTCCTAGGTCAATATTTTCATCTTGATCCGGCTTACATAGCCAATGCCTTAGGCTTGGATAATGAAGGTTTATCAAATGAAAAACAAGTTTTAGGCTCACGATATAAACGAAATGATAGTGCAAGTGTTCTAGATCTTCATGAGCGTTTTCTTCATCTCATGATCACTTGGTGGTTTCGACCATCCGGGGGTTGTTATTCTACTCTCAGAGCTTTAAATCTTTGGTGGTTGCATTGTTTTGAACACAATATAAAAATAAACCTTTCCGAGATTATCTTTGCTGAGATTGTTGAAACCGTTAACCTAGTGCCAAATAAGAAACTCTGTTCTTCACTAGTTTACGGTTGTATCCTTAGTAATCTCTTTTCTAAAGCCGAGCTTCGAGTTGGTCTAGATGTCTCCTTTCCTCTTAAGAAACAAATCAATCTTCTTTCTTTAACAAGAGCGGGATGGGTCAAAAATAAAGAAATCGGTGAATGGGTTCGATCTTCTGCAACTACTCCGGGAGCTAGTTCTTCACAAGCTCCACTCGAAGCTGACGAAGATCCAGAGTTTGAACAATTAATGAGGGATATCGATGAAGTCGAAGATGAGCCTGAGCAACCCGAGGAGCACGAACAACAATCGACTCAAATACCTCCATATTTTCAATCCTTTATGGAGACATTTGATTTCCGATATGCGACCATGGATTCGCGCTTTACTTCTATAGAGTCCCATTTATCCACAATGGGAGCTCAACAATTAGAGATTCTCTGAGAGATGTAAACATACAACGCTTCAATGAATGAACGTATTGATGCACTCTCACACGAGATGGCCGCTATGCGAGCTCGTTTTCCTCCTCCCGATCCTCCTACGGATGTTTGATTCTATATTTTGCTTTGAACTCCAAACTTATTGTTTTAACATTTTGAATATTTTGGAATGTTTGAATTTATGGATTGTGAATTTGTTTGGATTTATGGATGGTGTGAACTTATATGTTTGGTGTGATTTATTCATTATTGCATCATTTACATCATTATTAGCAATATGACCAATTTTGCCATATCACATTGTTTATGAATATTGATTATGGAACTAATGGCTAACGTTTCTCTTGATTGTGATCTTAACAGCTTATGCATACATATACCTAATCAATTGGCTAAATGATTTTCACGTTTCTTTGAATCTTTTTGATTTAACAAAAAGGGGGAGAAGTGTGTGTTTTTAAAAATGATAAATGGGAGAAGTGTTAAAGTAAGGGGGAGTAATTTCAAAACTTGATTTCAAAATCTTAAAATTACTAAAATGTTTTGTTATATCAAAAAGGGGGAGATTGTTGAAAACATTTTGATATTTCGATATAACAAATTAAGTTAAATGAATTTTAAGATTTTCCAAATGATTTTCTAAGTATATTTGATATAATTATTCGAATATCAAAACATTACTCCAAATATTTCAAAAATCATTTTTAATCCTTACTTAAGTGTAAAATTAAGTTTTAATCTTAAAACAATTTCAAAATAATCTTTCAAAGTATTTCGAACCATTTCAAAGCCAAAAATTTCAGATTGCTAAGAGGGAACCGATTCCCCCCCAAGGGGGTACCGATTCCCCCCTGAATGGTTTGACTCTTAGATTTCCAGAATGCTCGGAGGGAACCGATTCCCCCATAGGGGGTACCGATTCCCCCTGATCAACGGTCGAAATATTTGAATTTTACACTTAGGGAACCGATTCCCTATGAGGGGGAACCGATTCCCCCACGCTCCAAGCTATTTTATTAATTATTTTCACACTAAAACGGCTATATGATCTTCACTAATCATCCTCAACGTTCATAATTGATTCAAGGTGTATTTAAACAAGTTCTGAAGCCCTTGATCAACAAGAAATCATAGAGAAACAAGAGAGAAAGCATCAAACACCAAGTTTGTGCAAATCAAGCCAATTTTCCTTTCAATATTCATTTTCCTTTCAAGAACACCATTTGTGCTCATTTGTAATTATCTTTGAGTGTTCTTTTCTTGTTCTAGAATTGTGTAAACATATTACCTTGTGAGATTTTCCTTGTAAGTTTGCAAATTTGTAATCTTCTCTTTGGGAAAGAGTGTTCTCAAGAATTGGGGTATATTCTTGAGGGTGTTGTAAGGTTATCTCTTTGGCCTCAAAAGAAAGAATAAATTAGTGAATTTGTTGGAAAATCCTTAGTGTGGATAGCTAAGGTAGTGGACGTAGACTTTGATTGAGAAAGTCGAACCACTCTAAATCGTTGTGCAATTACTTTCAATTTTCTGCAAAAGCTTCCATCAAATTTTTAATTGCCAATTCACCCCCCTCTTGGCCAAATCCGTCAATCGATTAACTCAACAGAGCGACTGACAATCCATGCTTTATTGTCACTGTATCAAAAAGGGTGCTAGATCAATAATATTAGGAGAGATGATTCCTGATAGGTAATTATTGGATGTAAGGGTGACTTTTCGGTAGAAACACTGTAAACCTTGGTTTTTTTTTAAATGAAAAAAATGATTAGTTGGGGAGGTGGGGACCACAGCTGAGTCAGATGATCTGTCCTTTAGATTAACCAAATCAGAACCCTAGACCCCACTTGTTACATATTCAGACATGTTGTTAGTTTCAATCATGTTCACTTAACAAACTCATGCACTCATATTCCAAAAACTTGTGTCTGTCAAGGGGTACTTAACTTTTAAGCATATCACTAAGCAGCTGAGTTAAGCTGTCCACAACTGGTTCTGATGTTGTAGCCATCTTAGTTGTCTCATTCATGCATTGAGCTCCAACAATGGTGAAGATCTTCAATCTTTCATCCAAATTTTTAGGGTTTCGTATCAGACAAGACAATTTCCAATGTTTTGTTACTATTGTAAGAACACATTCTTGCTGATGATTTTTGTAGAATATCTTCTTTTGCAAAATGATTTTAATAGTAAAAGTAAATGTTCTTAGACTGAGCAACTACGTCTACAAAGTGTTCATGTATTGTCAATAAGCTAAAATATACGGAAGAAATATTATTTTATTATCATGTCAAACTAATTAGAAACTGATATAAAACTTCATTATTTTATAATCATGATAAACTAATTAGAAACTGGTATAAAATTTTTTAAAGTTTAATAACCTATTCAGAATGAATAGTCATAGATTGGAAACCTAGCAATTAACCCTTTAAATAATTCCATGCTACTCTTTGATGCAATCATGTAAATCCCATACCAAATATTAAGGTTCTTTTAATCTCTTAGGTGATAAGAATTTAAAGAAAGAAGTGCAAATTTTTTTCTCTGGGAAGGAAAATGATTTCCAAACAACAGAGCAAGTTCTATATATATTTTGACATTAAAATCCACATAAGCTTCTAAGTTTACACTTAACATCAATTTGATTTCTTTTTTTCCTTTTTTTTCTTTTAACTTCTTGTTCTTTGTTTCAAGCAATGACACAATTGTGAAGAAGGGGGGAACTTCCCTTGTGTTCCACCCAATGTTCATTCCATGCTCTGCATTCCCTTTTCATCACCTCTTATACCTCTATCATCCAGACATGGCAGTGAAACAACATTCAGACCGAGTAAACCCGGGACTCGGATTTGAATGGCCTTTCCTGTAGGACTAATCGGAGGGGTCGATCTTAAACCTCTCGCGGGATCCAAACTTTTTCTAAGAATACTTCTCATAGCAGATATGAGATGAACTGTAGGATCAGGAGGCGGTCTGGAGGAGACGAATTTTTGGCAAAAGTTCATGTGCCTAACCATTGCTTCCTCAGTACTGATAAGCCTTTCAGTCCTTATGATCTCATCTTTGATTGCTTCAGCACAGAGGCCACATATCCATTTCCCTTGATACCGTTGGCATACCGTTTCGATATAGGCCGGGGTACACCTCGGTGAGTCCACAGCAATCGCATTTGGCGAACTCGACATCGGTTTGTGAGACGAGTTTTGCTGGTGTTGCTTGAGTTTCCTGTGTTGGGGCTGATACCACCATTGGTTCACTCATTATTGTAGCAGACATTGCCAATTACCCCTGCTTGAAACCAAACAAAATACCATAAGTTTGATTAACCTCTTCTACCTTAAAGTTGCAAACTTTGACATAAAATTGCAGCATTAACAGCTAAACCAATGGATTCCCATAAAAGTGATCAACTAAAAACAAAAGATTACGCAGTTTTTGCTAATTTGTTCAAAATTCTTTGTTCATACAAAGTCAATTATCATGATCAAAATGCCTTATTGAATTCCCAACCAAAATCAAAAGAAAAAATAAAAGGGTGTTCAAAGGAATTACCGGTAGATAAGCAGATGAAACAAAAAACTCAGGGTTCTTGTTCTTTGTTTAAAGATCCCACCTTTTTCCACTTCTATTATGAAATTTTAGCCAAAATTGGATCTTCTTCTTCTTCTTCTTCTTCTTCTTGTGTTATCTCTCCTTCTCCCACTCTCCTTCTAATTTTCCTCCAGTGAAGAAAATCTCACACATGAAAACCATTTCTTCTTCAAAAACCTTTCAATTCCCTTCCCCTTTTTGCTTTGTGGATTCTCTTTGTGCAAATACCTCAAAGGACCTTTCTTTTTTGTTGATTTTGAAAGAAACCCAGAGACCCAAATCGACCTTATACTAAGAAAACGAAGAGATTGGACCCAAAATTTTACTTTTTGTTTTTTCTTCCACAAAATTCTCCACTGAGAAATGACATATAAATGAGAGAGACAGCGGAGAAGGAGAGAGAAGGCAATGATTGGAAGTTTAGAGAGAGAGAGGGGGTGGTCTCTATTAATTCCCATGTCAGCAAATTATTTAGTGAATCTGGCAGTTCATCTCGGGGTAGTTCTGCCCTAGTGTAGCTTAATTTAAGACTAACAAATGATAAAAAAAATGAGTGCAACTTAAATATTAATTTTTTAATTAAAAATATTATATATAAAGTAATATTTTCAATTATTAATTGAAAATATTATAAAGAATATTTTTAATCAAAAATTCTTTAAAAAAATTACATTTTATGTTGAGTCCAAACAAAAATGTTATAATTTTTATAATATTTTCAGTCGGATCTTTTTTCTACCATAAATTAAATTATTTTTTCTTAGATTCTCCCTTTATTATGTGAGAAATTACTGAAATTAAAATGAAATTACCTTATATTATAAATATCTTTACAAATATTATATTATTATAAAGAAATTTTAATTTCAATATAAATTTTCACCCATCCAACGATATTATAAATGTATAAAATTAAAAATTAAAGGAGTTGAATGGCATTATTAGATTATAGTATAGACCCCAAACCAAGTAGTACAACTAAAAGTTGCTTCGAATCTAAGTTGGGTAACGGAACACATGCACAATGGGATTTTGGAGTTAATTTCATCTAACTTTATGTTAGTTCATCACATGGGGGAAAACACCATCTTTAAGATAATTAAAATGAATACATAAAACCAAACATTTAATTTAATTTAATTGTATCTTCAACTTTAAGAAATTATTTTTTCCTTTCAACAATGACTTGGGACTTGGGAGTATTACCTTTACAAAATCCATAAACAAAAGACTATACAATCTATAACTTTATTTTTATAATTAGGTTAGCCGAATGGTTGGATTTTGTTTGAATTTGGTGCACTCTCACATGATTCACATTGATATAATGTATCTAAGACTTTGTGTGTTTAATTTAATTATAATTTGAATATCATATACAATAACCCTTTGATTTAAGATTTTTCTTGAGATTATATATATAATTTAATTTATTAAGAAATTTAAGATTTTATTCATTGATAATGACATAAATTTTAGATTAATCGTCTTTTATCAATTCTTCTTCTTCTTTTTCTCTTTCTTCAAGCTTTATCATAACTTTTGTTGTGTTTTTGTTTTACATATTTTAGTTATAGTTTTTTTGTTATTTTGTTTAATCGTTTTCTCCCTTCCATACAAAGATTGGGGATGCTTTTGTCTGTTCTTGTAACACGTATTATTTTTAGGGTTAGATTTGATAGTGTTTCTTTAGTTAGCGTTTATTTGATTATCTTACCGATATATCCTGTTTTGAATCCCCATATTTCTCTTTTATAAATAGATGTTCATAATCATTAAAGATATGTCGATATTGAACTGCGTTAAAAATCAGTTAATTGGTGTGTTGTTGTAACAAAAATGTTATATTAATATTGACGGTATTTATCTTTTAACATCATAAGGGTGTTTGTTTGTATGCATATATCATTTTTATAAGTTATTTACTTAAGTTATTAATTCTTTTCTTGTATGGTCAAATTTTAATTTAGATGTTAGTTTGTATACTTTGATAATTGTAGGAGAAATGATTAGTTAATATAATTTATATTACTATAATTTTGTACATTTTCCTACAATTTTATTATATTTTATCTTTATTCAATAAAATTAACTATTATTCTTAATTAAAAAATTAAAATTCTAATTTCATTATATCAAACCTTTTTAATTATTGATTTGAATAGTGATGCAAACATCGCAACCCCTTTCTCTAAGTCCCCACCCCTCACAATCATTAGTTACCTTATTAGTTCAAATATATTAATAAAAAAAGTAAAGTTTATAAAAAATAAATATAATATTATATTTTTAACCGTTGATGTTTACAAAAATATTATATATATAAAATATTATTTGATATATTAAATATAAATCTTTTATTTATTTTTGTGTTCCAGGCTCTAGGAATATATAGGATATACCTTTTTGGCGATTCTAATTGCTTGGAAATCCCTCGTCGGCAATAGCCAGAGGTAGTGACAAACACATAATTTTATATTAGTAGAACGGATTTAAAATTTTAAATGGACGAATTTAAATTTATAAAATTTAAGAGGATAAAAATAAATTTTTAATAGAAAAATATAAAAATATTATAAAATATATGATAATTTTAAATTTTTAGTAAAACACTCCACTCATCCTGGTTGGACCCTGCATAGGGTCGCACTCTAAATATTGGGAGTTCTGATTTATAAATATATGGATGGACCATGCCTTACCAACACTATAACATCCACAAGTGCCACCATAAAATGTGTGAATAGGCCTAATCTATTACGTATGCATCGATTGTGACATTGAACTGCACTTTGGAAAAGATTAATTAAATAAACTATAACATAACCCACACCCATCCCTACATCTAATTCTTACCTTTCCCACTAATTCGGATTTACCGTTCATATTTGTTTACTAATATATATTTAAGATTTATGATCATCCCTTTCAATAATATTAATTTTTAAAATTTAAATTTAAAAGAAAACAATATATCTTCATGATTTATATTCAAAGTTTGTGGTTATTTCTCTCTACAACTTTTTAACGCATAAGATTTATGATTTATGAATATTTTTATGATTTTTTTGCATATAAAAATTTATTTTATTATGTTTTACGCTTATATGATTAATTATAAGACAAAACATGGCCGCACATACGTTAAAACATGCATGTTTCACATGCATTTGTCTAAGCTGTTTTTCTTACACTTATTGCCGATGTCTAATGTCGATCAAAAACAAAATCAGTCATTTAATTTGTCGATGATTTTAGTCTAAAAAAATAATCGTCGATGATTGATATTGTTTGGGGGTAATATTTGACTTAAGATTCGATCCATTATTTTAGACAAAAATTATCATTTTTTTTCTGTCCTCTCATATTTCGTTAAACTTTTTTCTAAACCCTAAATTATAAATCCTAAACTATTTTTTACATCACTATTATTTCTGACATATATTAAATTTGGAACAAATCGAAGTTCCCATCATTGTTTTTGGTTTCAATATTTTAGGAACATGGGTGATGAGTTGGTTTTCTTTATTACATCACCACCTCCTTGTCTAAATGTATGAACTCAATAATGTTTTAAGTGAAAATGAAGGGTTTAAAAATGGAAATGCCGACTTGAACCATGATGACATGTTCATTATTAATCAACAGGCAACAAATTATTTCACAAAAGTCCACTAATAATGATTCGTGTTTTAAATTAGGCTTAATATCAAAATAGGTGCCCAAACTATACGACTTTTTCCAAATAGGTGCCTAAACTATTTTTTGACTCGTCCCGGTGCCTAACGTTATAAACGTTACCACTTCAAGTGTCCTGGCCGTCAACAGTGTTAATTTCTCCCGTTAAATGACACGTGTCATAATATAGTAATTTAAAATTTTATTTAAAATTAAAAAAATTAAAAATAAAAACAAAAAAAATTTGAAATTGCCTCAAAACTTTAAAAACCTTCATTTTAACCCTTAAACGGTTAAACCCATGCCGGCCACCGTCCTTTGTTGTCAAAAAGCTCCACCCAACCTCAACTCCCCCGACGACCAACGCCCATATGAAATCATTATCGATTGACAATAAATCGATGTTTTATATGCCGTGAACCCTAAGATGAAAATCATGATCTCACACAATTTCAACGGCCAATCAACGACAACTACATCATTGTATGACTAGGAGGATGGCAGAAACTATGCCAATGATGGTGGTCATGGCCTGAAAGGGTGGCAGTGTCAGTTAAGGTTAGGATTTAGGGATTTTGGGGCTTTTTTATAATTTAAGAGAAATTATGATTTTTTTATAAATATAATAATGTTTTTAATATATTAAAGAATAAATTTCAAAATCACAATATTGTAACACGTGTTACTTATAAGAGAAATTTACGTCGTTGACGACCCAGACACAAAATGATAACATTTGTAATGTTAGACACTTAAATGAGTAAAAAAATAGTTTATGCACCTATTCGGAAGAAGATGCATAATTTGAGCACTTATTTTTGTATTAAGCCTTTAAATTAAAGATTTATGTATTTATTGCTTTCTTTTCTCTTTTCTTTTAATTTGTTCCACACAGTGATTTGAATAAAAAAGGTAAATTACAAATTTGGTAAATATACTTTATTTTCTATTCTATTTCACCCACTATATTTTTCAATTTCTTCATTGAATAATACTCTGAATAATACATTGAGTTTTTTTTTATCACTCATTCATTTTCTCACTAATGACGTTATAAATGTGCTTTTATGTAAATTAAAATGATATTGTTTTGGTGAAAATTTTATTTTTTTAAAACGACATCGTTTTAACAATATTAATTACTTAACGACCGAGTGACAAAAAAACTCAATATATTAAATTTAGTGAAGAAATTTAAAACTTTTAAAGTTTAGTGAGCAAAATAAGAGAGAGTAAAGTTTATTAGTCAAATTTCTAATTTACCCCAAAAAATATCAAGGCCGCAAAAATTGATGATTAGTAGTTAGTGGTTGAAAATCAAACCCGAAATGACAATTGACAAATGATTAAGGCGTTTTTGCTTGATTAGTAAAATTTTAATAATTGTTTTTATTTTCATCTTTTAGTTATAAATTAGTAAAACAGCTGTTATTTAAATTTATTGAGTCATAATTTAGGATCTGTTTGATAACTAATTAAAAATTATAATTGATTAAGAATTAATTTTTAAATATATTTGATAATTTAAAATTTAAAGTATTTTTAGAAAAAAAATATTAATGTGAAAATATTATAAATAAATATATATAAATTATATATATTTTTATTTTAAGTGTTTACTTTTTTTTCATAATAGATATTTGATATTTTATTTTGTAATCACTTAGATTAATTTAG